CAGAGTGGTCATGAGCGGTCGAAACCTGGCTGACTGGAACTTTATGCAAATGAATATTTTCACTACATCATGTTTAGCCAGTCAGACGAGATCATGTGCGTTTGTTCATGTCTGATGACGTTTTTGCTGTGAGTAAGAAGTGCTTGTACCTTGGCAGTTAAAAGCCCCTAACAGCATTATTGCAAAATTTAAGTCCTATGTGCAGACGGCTGACAAAATCAATGAAAAATGGTTGCTTGGCTTTGCTGATGGGGGGTGGGGGTACGTAAAATGGTAAAAATATGTGTAACTGTTGAAATGGTGAAGTTTAATCTGAGGAGATGTTGATTTAGCATTTTTGGAAGGAGTCTCCAGTGACAGTTCTTTGGATCAATCACAGTTTGTTTCACGGACTTTCCACAACATTAATTGTAACTAAAAGAATAAAATATGATGTCATTCTTTAATAGAAAATTGTAATTGTTGGTAAATTGCTGTGTTTGAAGGGGAATAAAATGTTTTGGGACATGCTGTTTTTGGAAAATAATCAACTTTGCACTGCACCACATAACACAACTCTGACATTTGTTTTATAATATTATGTTCATTATAAATATTTCTCTATCAGCTTTGCTAGTTGGTTGTAGTGTTTGTGGGGAAAAACTTTACTAAGCAATGTTAAGCAAACCAGTCAGATGGAGCTCTTACAGCATCAGATCCAGATGTTCTGAACTGAATTGGCGTAATCTCAGTCAGCATGCTCATGCATGATAGCATGAAACTCAAATTTGGACAATTGTGTATTAAATGTAAATATTAACGCCGAGTTAGATTCTGTGTAGTCGTACGCTTGGATTCAGTTTCGCAGGAATGTATTCGATGATTTAATGACTTTCTCTCTTTCCTCTGCAGGGTGTGGAGGAGGCTTTCTACTCTCTGGTTCGGGAGATCAGGAGATACAAGGAGACGAACCGCAGCAACAAGAAGAGCAAGAAACACCCACAGAGACGTTGCACTCTTTTATAGCAATACTTCTGCCCTCTCTTGCACTACATTCCTGGAATAGCACTGTGCACACACACACACACACACACACACACCTGCACACTCTGCTGTAGCATTTCAACCCTTCTCCCTCCACTTAGAGCCAACTTAGGGTGAGGTCCCAATCAGGAAGCTCAGAAACAGTGCCATGGCTGCTATATGCTTTTTTTTTTTTTTTTTTTTTTTTTATATAAAGTTTGCAGTGGGTGTATATGGCTCGCCAAATGCAGAGGTTCCTGCTTGGGGCTTTAAATATTGTAAAACTTTACCAAGATTCATGAGTCATTGGACTTGTTTGGATAACTCTTATCCCGTCATATCTGTGCTCTGACTATGGCCACTGATTTCTGAAATTGTGACTTTTTGTAGCATTCGTGTACTTCAAAATCTCCAGCTCACCTCAACTTTTAAACACCGTGACTCTCAGTACAAGTGTTAATGTTCTCAGCTGAGCTAGTGCCCTACCTGTAACCACTATGAATTTGTGCTTGAAAGGTAGCTATGCAGTGTCATACGCCACCCTCCCCCCACCACCACCACCACAGAGTCAAGTTCAAGCTGCTCTCTCTCTCTCTCTCTTCCTACACGAGCACTGCTCTCTCCTGTGTTCGTACACCACTGCCGTCTCTGCCTCATTCCCAGGTCTTCTATACTGCGAACAAGGCTAGAGAAATGATTGTATTGTATTCCCTCACTTTCATTGTTATAAAGGAAGAAATAATGCAGGATACATCTTATTTTTAAGCAGGCCCACATTGGGGTCTGAACACCTCTGATACATTCCTGTTGTCATAGCGATGAGACAGCCTTAGGAGTTTAATGGGATTTTGTTAATTAAAAGGATTTTGGCTAAAACAGAGTCCTGTGTTTCTGTCCCACTTGTCTTATTCTCAGGATTGTTGGTAAGTTACTATAGTCATGTTATAAGTAAAGAATAGGGCATGCTGTTATAGGATGGGGTGGTGGGGTGCGATATAGCCCAATGCAAAACAGTTACTGTTAGTACACCAAAGATGATTATTTTCCTATACCAGCATGACCTGAAATGTTTAATCCTCTTATACCATAGCAGTTTGCTGACTACAATTATTTTTAAAATAAAGAACTACACATCATACCTTTTATCCATTCACAGCTACATGCAATGTTGTGGAACGTTCACAGAAGTTATCACTTGATTGTTCCCCCACTTACCTCTGACTCCTACAAAAGCACTGACACTGAAGACTCCTTCCAAAAAAATATCCCTTCAGAGATTTCACCAAATCAACAATTACATGAAGTCCCTGTGTTACTTGTTACTACAAAAAATAATAACTAATTAGAATGAGCATGTTAATATAAATGTGATTTGTATTACAGCCAGAGCGGTAGAAAATTAATCAACACCTTCTGACCAACTCTGTGGTTGAAAAGAGGGGAAAAAGGCATTGAAACAAATTATCAACTTTCTCTTTGCATTATAACAAAATACATGAACATAGTTCTCTCACTTTATGTTAAACTTGCCTTAAACGTTATAAAAACATACTTTTTTAATGATTAAATACATCTGAATTCAACTGCTCATTGTCAGTCTAGTGATTCTGCCACACTCTTAAGCAGTGAGCTGAAAATCTACAATAATCTTTATTTATATACCGCTTTTCATTTTCAGTTCAGTTCACTGCTTAAAGAACCAACGTACATTCAGTCATCTTCAGTAACAGTTTTATCCTGGTCCAAGCGTTGGAGCATGTGTATGTGTGAGGATTAAAGCTTGCCTTCTTATCGGCTTCATTGTTTAAATTTGCTTTGCTTGGACAATTCCCGGTAATGTGTGTGGATCTACGATGTTTTCTGAGCTGAGAGCCAATCATGTTTTGATATGAGAATGCAGAGCACACAGTCCTGGTTGACCCAGACAAAGGGGCAGGTGCGTTTCCAATTTTCATACTCATAGCATCTGGTTTTCTTGATGAAGGTAAAGATGTAGATGCTCCTATGCTGTTTTTGTGTCATCCATCAACAGTCCCATTAACAATATAATTAAGAAGTGGTGTGGTCCATTTTTTTAGGAACACCTGTACATCTGCACATTCATGCAGTTATCTAATCAGCAGTATCTGAAAAACTCGAACCAGCCCATCTGGCACCAAAATCTATGCCACGGTTAAAGACAGATCACATTTTTTCCCCATTCTGATGTGAACATTAACTGAAGCTTTTGACCCGTTTCTGCATGGATTTATGATACATGATTGGCTGATTGGATAACAGCATGAATGTACAGGTGTTCCTGTTTGGCTGAATCCTACAAATATCTATATATTAAAATTGAACTCAAATAATGGATCTTTTAGACATCTTCAGTGTTTTTCAACGTTAACAACAAAAGAGCTCAGGGGAAAAAAAGACAAAAATCCAGCATTTTACAAAAAAGAAAATTTTATTTTCTACTGTATTGATTGTGTACAAAAAGGTAAATATGGCTCTTTACAAATAGAGAGTAACAAAACCAACCCACTCTGATAACAATGCATGATGGGAGGTAACGATGCAATTCCTGAGATCCTCTCACCAGCCGAAACGTGAAACAAGCTTCTCTTGATCACCGAGATCTTTCTGAACCTTTTTCCTCATGTAGAAGATAGGACAGTCTCGACTAGAGAGAGAGAGAGAGAGAGAGAGAGAGAGAGAGAGAGAGAGAATTTAGTGAGAAAGCTAGAGCATGAACATTATTTATAAGCATGCATCACACTGGTCAGATGGTGTTGATTAATTTTCTGTAAGAGCAATATTAGTAGAGAGAGCGAAAAAGAGAAAGAGATGCTGATGAGGAAACAACCGTTTATAGCTGTTCTAACAGGAAATTAAGTGACAATAGGAACTAACTTGTTCCATGGACATTCCACAACATTAAACATCACTATAAACAGGGGAAAAAATATTTAAATAAATAATAATCGACATGTTGTTCTTTAATAAATAAAAACATGCAAACATTGGCAAATTGTTGTGGTATAAGAGGAATAAAAACACTTCGGGATGTGCAGTTGTAGGAAAATAATCCACTTCCGGATGGTTTATTGGGGGTTGTTGATTATTTTTCTATAACAGCTCGCCCCAAGTGCTTACCAACAAACACCCTAGCTTCAAGTAAAACCACAACTCCTTGCACAAGTAACCAAAAATGACTCTAAACACACCTATATTTTCATAATTTCATAATTCACAATAGATGTGTGTACAGAAACAAGGGTGGAACCATTACATAAAGCACTAAAAAAAGAGGAAGTTTCCAGAATGTGAAGAGTTTAAAACGGTGTTACTAGATAAAATGTTGCAACTACGCTAGTCAGAGGCAATTGTGCCATCATGAATCATTCATGTAGTAATCTGGCAAAAGCTTTTGTCTAAGTTGACTTACAACTGAGGCAAGTACTATACTTCCCAGTGATAATATTTCAGATGCTGGATCTGATTCCAAACACAATTCTTACCCTCCGGGAATCAGAAACGGTGTTTAAACTAGTCATAGTCTTGAGCCAAAAAAAAAAAAAAAATCAAACAAACAAAAAATCTCTTCAACCTGATAGTGTTTTAAAAGCACCAAAATGTTCAACACAAATTCAACACTATAAAGCACTATACTGGGAAAGTGATGAGGAATTCCTCCAGGTGTTGATTAACTCTGAATACTGACTCTTGAGTAATTAACTCGTAAGTGTTCTACTGCAACCATGATGATGAATCAGATGAGAAGCCGATTTTGAAATGTATTTCGGTCCATGATTTAGCCATCGGAGTCACTCAATTGTGTACGCTCTAGTTAAAGTGGTGGTGCTCTTCTTTCGGCAGATTGTTGGTCTGCAGATTTGATTTGGCACAGTTTTTTACGCTGGATGCTCATACTGATGCAAGCTTCCCCTATTTCATCCGGGCTTGGGACCGGCAGTGGGAGGGCACTGACGTGCAGCCCCGGTCGCTGGGGTTGGTTCCCTGGTTTGGAAACGAACCCAGACCACAGCGGGGAGAGCGCCGTGGTCTAACCACTAGTCCTCCAGGGACCTGCTCTAGTTAAAGTGTAAAGTGGTATAAAAGGTCCAGAGTGTGCATGACTGCATGCACATTTCCCTGTGAAGCTCACTTTAAATCACAATGCAAGTGTGGAAAATAACTTTGAGGCTTGTAGTGTGCATGTTTATAAATGTGTGGACAATGTGTTGCTTGTACACACTAGACATTAGTATGCACACACACACACACCTGGTACACAGCACGTCTTCATGCAGGGACCCTTGGCAGCGCTGACACTGAGTCCACAGACGAGAGAACTTCTCCTCCAGTGAGGACAGGTGAGCAATCTGAACAGCACACAAAACCGATTTAGAGCCACATGTTAACTACATCAACGTTTAACAAAACAAACAAGACTTTCAGACAATTCTCCAGTTCCTCATGGCATTAATCAGCTGTGCTCTGCAGCGATGATGCCCTTCATGCCTGGAATGATCAGAACCTGACCTAACCACTGTTACCCCAAGACCCGTGTACACAGGGCTGATTACACACCTCTTTCTGATAGAGCTCGGACTCCTTCTTCTTGCAGAAATCACACACAGCAGCTGCAGGAAGGGAGGAAATGATCAGCTTCAGAAATCATATCCACTGTACAGCAGCAGTCTCCAACCTTTAACCATTATTCATGCCAGCACACACACACACACGCTCACACACACACTCACACGCGCCCGCTCTCGCTCACACGCGCGCCCGCTCTCGCTCACACACGCGCGTCCACTCTCGCTCACACACGCGCCCTCTCTCGCACACACACGCGCCCTCTCTCGCACACACACGCGCCCTCTCTCGCACACACACGCGCCCTCTCTCGCACACACACTATGGCAACGTACTGTCTGTTTTGAGAACTGCTTTGCAGCCAATGCACGTGCTACGTTTCTGCGCAAAGGCCATGAGGCCTCCCACTCTGGAGGTCAGAACGGTCTTACAGCGTGTGTGATCTCCCTCTGAAAATATAAACACACACACACACACGTTACACAATGACACATGCTTCAGAACTTATTGCCATTCACCACTGTAACTATCCATGTTTTCCTTATATAGACCATTTCAGATGAATATTCATGAGCACAGGAAGTGATATTTCTGCTCTGCTTTCAGTGCTTCTCTGCTGTAAACACACTCGGTACAAACAAAGTACTGATACACATCAGTGTAAGTCACCTCAGGCTGTAAGTGTGTGGAAAGAAAACTGTTTTCTCACATTGTTTTAATGTTAGATTGTTTATTGTGTACTGTTTATTTCTGTGTATATCTTGTCTGTTCACTTCTCAGGAGATTCTGAGGAAATTCCGAGCTAATCATTTTGTTTTGACAGCTTTACATTTAAAAATGGCGCAACCCGAAACGTTTTAGGAACGGACACGCACAGTAACCGTCGTAAATATGACAATATAATATCGATATAAACGACTTACAATACACTTTTCTGAGATAGCACATATATTGTGATATCTTTTTATAATTAAAAAAATTACTGACTGATAGGAGGCAGCTGATTTGAGGTAAAATTTGATTTTGTACTGAAACGTAAATGATTCACAGAATCTCTTTTTTTGTTCAGTTTTAAGTACTTTCATTAATTTCTACAAAAATATCTTATCTTTTTTTTATTTTGAAACTTTTCCCTACAGTTTTTGTTTAAACGCATCAGTACTTTTTTGCGGGACGCTCGGCATATCGTGATACTTGCGTCATATCTCCCACCCCTGCGACAGAGGTTTCTCAAAAGCGGGTTAACTGAGTAGGACACATCTGTCAACATCCGTAACATTAAAGCCACATTTTGACACATTAACCTTTAAATATATCCAAAATCTGGCCAGAATTTCAAATCATATGCATATATACCCTCAGCATCCATTTTATTAGGTACACCTGCCTTAGCCCTACTCATTAGTAAGACAGTGCCAGTGATAATACATGACACATTTATGCACACATATGTATATAGCTGTGTATACACACCCACACACACACACGTTTACTCACTGAGTAATACACTCTCAGCCTTGGTTTCTCCAAGTATAGGCTCAAAGATGCGCAGTAGAGGTTTAGACAGCTGCTGCTCGAGGTAGTATTCTGTGTCGATAGGGATGTTGTTCTCCAGCACATAAATAGGGTCCTAAACACACACATATGATTTTAGTCAATAGCAAAAATGCTAAAAGTTTTTGAAACAGCATCTGAAACTCAGCACCACCATCTATATCATCACACACACACACACACACACACACACACACACACACACACGCCCTTTACTGACCTCTGATTTCATGTACGCTGCTACTCCTTTAGCTGCCTTGATGATAACATATGGAACTCGATCGCCGAGATTAGGAGCGCTGCCTGCATCTCGCTTTCGCATCCTACACACAAACACACACAACACTGTTAAAGCATATGTTCTATTCAACACAACTTTAGCTATATAATACTTTTTTTTTTTAAAGACAGCCTTACATAACATAAAACAGTAGAAATCATTAGTCAAAAGAATGGGAGTGCAACAGTTAGTAAATTATATAAACATGCAAATAAAAGAAAACCCCTAAGAAGTCTTGAGTGAATAAAAGAATAATAAATCATCAAATAATCAAAATACAGATACAAAATTCCTAACAGGGCTTATTAACTATAAGCCTTAGAAAATGCTTATACTTTTTTTCCCTTTCATATTAATCTTTGCTATCATACAACAGCTACCAGCCGGGGAGCATGAAGACTAACACATGCTTCCTCTGAGACATGTGAAACCAAACAACTGCTGCTCAAGTTGCATCACAGGGCAGCATAACACACCCTCGGAGAAAAACGCTATCTACCCTCTTCCACATACATGAGCTCATAGATTCTCGCAATTGGTTAGCGTCTCTGTAATTGGACAGTAGGGCAAAGCTTTTCTGTTGTTGCCACTCAGGAGTCCAGTTGTTGTACTTCTGAAGAATTTCAGACACTAATTAATAGTTTTTTTTTGTCTTGCCAAAATCGTGTTTATATAAACACACACACACGCACTATATAAATATATATATATTTCATGAAACACCAATTGACACACTCAGATACATAATTATACTTGTGTACTAATTCACTACAATGTCTCGAACATAATGCTGAAAAATGCTTAAAGCATTAACATGAAAAGAAATGTATGTACACAAACACGCACACACACACACACACCTTTCTGCGAGTTCCACATGGGCCTGTTTTCCTGCGTACTCCTGTGCCGTGCGCGTCAACTCCTTGGTGATCACCAGTTGACTGATGTCAATGCGGTTACACAGAAGGTCTGAGATCACCTCTTTAGCATGGGCTACAGCTCCATCAGGATCTCTACCATACACACACACACACACACACACACACACACACACAACTGATTAGTTCAAGTGAGGAACTGGGGAACTCTTGATCAGCACTCTGTAGTTCACATGCGTGTACCTGTCTATGAGGATTTTTTGAAGGCACATGTTGATGAGGTTGGCCACTAGGGGGCAGTTGTCTCGCCTCACAGTCTCTATTCCCTTACAGTCCATCTTATCATGATGCTCCGAACTGGAGGAGAAATACAGGCCTGCGTACCTCTTCTTATTGATCAGTAAATACGGATAGTACACCTGAGAGAGAGAGAGAGAGAGAGAGAAGAAAGAGGGGGCGAGTCAGATGGGAGAGAGTGAGAAAGACAGAAAGACAGCATGGGGGGGGGTACGACACAAAGTGAGAGAAACAGAGACAGAGAGAGGGGAGAGAGAGAGAGGAGAGACATAGTGACATGGTGAGAGAGAGAGAGAAACAGACAAAGAGAGAAAGAAAAGAGAGAGGTAAGTCAAAGAGCAGAGAGAGACAGACAGAGACAGAGTGAAGGAGAGAGAGACAGACAGAGACAGACAGTGAGAGAGAGACAGGGAGGACAAACAGATTTGTTTATATGACTTATGCATTTGAGTGCAAAAGTTTGCACACCTTTAGGACAAAAAGTAGCAGCTCATTACCACAAGTAGCAAAATGGTTGAATAAATATTGGCTTGATGGTTTGCTTACTGAATGTAATAAATATTCTTTAATAACTTCACCAATGGACAATATAACTGCTTAATTATATTTTTAACATAGGTTAAAAAAAAAAAAAAAACACAAACCACAAGTATACTGTTTTATATTTAAGTGTGCCAATAATTATGTTAGAGGAACAGAAAGTATGGTACATTCTCCAAATTGCAGCACAATTGCAGGGTCATACAGATTTTCTAGAGAAAGAGGATGTCACATCAGATGTGCGTGTAAAGTGCTTCTGAGGCTGTAAGAGGTGAAACTAGATGAGGGTTTCATAATGATTTAAATCTTTTACTCACAGCTGATGATGCACTTTACATGCACAGCTGTATGCGCAGCTAGAAGACAGAGGACCTTTAAACATCCTGCTTCTTTGGAAACCTGAACTACAGTGTAATTTATTAAGTAACCTTCAGTTACGAGTGCTACCATCACAATGTACCTTCTCAAACTCCAGTTTGATTGGGGGGACAAAGTGTGAGGACACCCACTCAGCCGCCTCCTTTCCTGCGTTCATCGCCTCCTGCACTGTGTCCACTCCCAGTTTCACCATAACAGAGTCTGTGTCTCCATAGATGACCTAAATACACACAGTCAACACACACCACTCTCAGTCCACATTTATGGACAGTTCAGCTCTTACTCAAAGACTAGATTGACTGGGTGTGTTACCTTGGCATCAGCTGGATATCCATTAGAGATGGTGTATTTGGATTCCACAAGCTGCTTAGTCTGTTCAATCATCTGCCTGCCGAAGCCTGTAACACTCTACACACACACACACACACACACACACACACACACACACACACACACACATGGTAAGTTTCAAGCAGTCCAAGGTTTCTACTTTTGAGGTTCCTGATCACATGTAAAGAGCGAGACAGACCTGTGAGATCTCCAGACAGGGCAGTTTGCC